AATCTTAAACCTTTGTGATCAATATCTTCCTCAACCTATCCCTTTTGCTGAATAGCTCTTGCTACTCGGTACCAGGCTTCTGCTGTACAAACCAAATCTTGGTCCGACAGCTTCCCTTTCTTCTGTCAGTAACTTACGCCAGCTCTCTGGCTACAATCTGCCGCACAGAGGTACGGTAATTCCACATACTTTAGCAATCTTACTCACTTTCTTAACCATCTCTTCTCCTTCTCTGTCTTCCACTAGATCACATGCTAACCAACCCTTACTGGGTTTATCTAACTTCTGTCCCATCCTCCCTATACAAGGCGTCCCAGATATAGAGAGAGAAAGGAACAGAACGTCTACCGTGCTCGACTGCTACTTTAAGAGCAAGCTCTTCAAGTACGTCTTCCCAAAACGTAGACTAGTCACTGATTCCGCCTACCCGTGGTAGCCGCGGATTGGAGCGTGGCGAGAAGTGTGTGACCAATCACTTCTCTCAACAAAGAGAAAGAGAAATAGGAGGGGAAAGTGTAAATAGTACAGTGAGTAAGATAGAAGTAAACACAGGAATCTGTGTGACAGACAATTAAGACAATAACATTTCAGTGTAAATACAGTGCATGCATCACAGTTCAAATAAGTTCAACAGTGTTATCCCTTGCCTTTACTCGTGTGGCCAAAAGCCACCTCCCTCAACCTCGTAGTGTCCCTGTTGCGGACCCACCCGCAAGTCTCACTACCAGCAGCCACAGGAAACAGCAACAGCTTCCAACCCGAATCCTGTATAGCCTAAAGAATTGGAATCTTACCTGTCTCAGCGCTTGAGACTGGAATTTTACCAAGAAGAAGTGTCTGATGAGGCTAGCTAAGCGGTCAAAATGACACTCTGGGGATCCCCAGGAAGCAGTGAGTCTACTGCCCTCCACAGATCCCCCCTACTCTTTTTCCTTACAGCCACAGCCATGTGGCTCCTAAAAGAGTTAAACAGGCAATAGAGGACCCCCAGGAAAACTTCCACAGGTCCACCCCCCTTTTTCCTTACTACCACAGGCATGTGGTACCTAAAAGGGGTTAAACAGGCACTTACACTCCCCGGGTACTAAGTTAAACACATACCAATACAAACACACCCAGGCAACAGATAGTCAACATGCAGGTAAACTAGGTATCATTAACAATACAAAGACTCTGGGCAAGTTATTACCTGACTTTGATGTCCTCTCGGCAGCAGTCACAGACACTGGGGCAGGTCAATCACAGGGGCAGGAACATACCGGCTAGGTGCTGCAGCAATCTCTACCGTGTATTCAGAGGTGATCAGGCTCTTTTCCTTCCCCCAGGATTCAGCCCCCCCAGCGTCTTCTTGGACAGCTGCCCAGACTGGACATAGCCCAGAGCCCCACGTTGAGAGCGCCAATTGTTCTAGATAATTTACTGCAAACCAATTAGTTTGAATGACTATCTGTTCCTGTCCAAATTAAAGATAATAAAGTTGCGTGCACGCAGAAGTAAATTCACACTGAGACACATGGTTCAGGGTAATGAAAGAACTTCAGAGAAGTTTAATGGCTTCTGACAGAAAATGGGTGCGCAGACCCTTATAAAGGCATTATTACATCATTGAAGAAAATCAAGATATAGACAAATAGACATTGTTAATTGGCTTAGGTGCTAAGATGTTAGTAAAATGCCCTCCCCATTCTTAGGTCACTATCTACGTAATTTCTTAACTCCTACAGGTTTTAGCGCCATTTTGCTAAAATGAGGAGCTCACTCGACGGGAGGGGCCTTTTGGCGGCTATCCATTTGGAGCGTAGCTGGCACTTGTTAGTTTCTCAAGGTTAAGTTTCAAGGATTTTAGTAAATACACATTTTATCAAAGCTATTTCTTGCTGACATGCAAATTCTATGTTCTATAGACAAAGCTTCCTTGTAAAACTATGGGGGCCTCTTAGAGGTATAGCAAGAGGATTTAAAGGGGCCTTACAAATTTATAGAGGCCTAATAATTCTACAACAGTAACACAATTAGCCGTACAGTTTAAAACATAATTTTTACCCAACTTTCATAACTCTAAAACTATACATCCAATATTAATAAAGTCACATATTATTAATCAGCACATTCCAGATACAAACATACCCAAAAATCATTTGAATCCGTTCAGCCGTTCGGGAGATAGATAGAAGTCACTTTTGACCGACCCCAGGCACATTTTCATTCCCAAAACAGTTCCATGGATTTGGGCTGTGCAGTCGGTCTATTTTACACCGAGAAAATGACTAAGTCCCATTTGAACAAGCGTTCGAATCTTCGAACTTGACTTGTCTCCAGCCGCAGTGTCGAAGTAGAGTAGAACGTATGGGTCAGCGGTGTTCGTGCAATTGGGTAGCCGAAACAGTTCCATAGATTTGGCTGCACACACCGCTGACCGCGTTCGAATGAGTTAAAATGGCTGCTGCCACGTGTTCGGTATTCAAAAGGCGGCCACTTCGACACTTTGACAACTTCGACATTTCGACGACTTCGACTGCATCCGAAGTGCCAGTTTAAAAGTACAGAATCCTTTCTTTTTGCCTTAAAGGGCCAGGAACAGCAATATAAGCCTCAAGTATGCCCACATCAGTTCCTAGAAGGGCAATACATCCCAGGACCATAGTCGCAGGGTAGGAGGCTGGCAAACAGGCCCCTCCAAAAACCAGTGGCGAGGTTACTTTCGCCACAAATAGGTCCCCCCTTCTGTTTAAAAGCCCCCTCGCACGGCACAGGTGGGGGCTCGGGAGGGGGGAAACTTGTGGGTTATTTTTTTTTTTTTAACAGTGAGCAGCCACAGGCGTGGTATAGCGAGTAGGGGCAGAATTTACTAAGTAATTTTTGTCCGAATTGCCCGAAATTCGTCCGAATTGACATTTGGAACAAAACGAATTGCACATGTCTAATTTTGACAAGGGTCAAATAGTGATGGCTAGGAAACTGGGTCAGAGCATCTCCAGAATGGCAAGGCTTGTGGCGTCTTCCCGGAATGCCAAAAGTGGTGCAAGGAAGGACAACCGGTGAACTGACGTCAAGGTCATAGGTGCCCAAGGCTCATGATGCACGTGGTGATTGAAAGATAGCAAACAAAAGAGCTACGGTAGCTCACATTGATGAAAAACATAATGCTGTCCATGATAGAAAGGTGTCAGAACACAGCGGGCATCGCAGTTTGCTACGTATGGGGCTTTGTAACTGCAAACCAGTCAGAGTGCCCAGGATTACCCCTGTACCTTCAATGAGCGTCAGAACTGTACTGTGAAGCAGTGGGAAAAAAGTTGTCTGGTCTGATGTATCACGTTTTCTTTTAGATCAGATGGCTGGTCGGGTACATGTGCGTTGTTTACCCCCAACCCCCCTATAATTACACTATAAATACCCCCAGCCCCCTATAATTACACTATTAATACCCCCAGCCCCACTATAATTACACTATAAATACCCCCAGCCCCCTATAATTACACTATAAATACCCCCAGCCCCTCTATAATTAAACTATAAATACCCCCAGCCCCCTCTATAATTACACTATAA